CAGACATCAGTGTGCTCAAATCAAGAATTGGTTTCGGAACAAGAGTTATTTTGCCTTTTCATTTACATAAAGTTGAGCATTTCTCTGCTTTTGGACGCTCTCACCATGTTCTTCCCTCAGCTCCTGTAGAAAATACGTTTATTTACTTCAATTTAAGTAAAAAAAAAAAAAACTTTCAAATCTCACAAAGTTTCACATCAATAGTGTAATTTGTGCTTTCATATCTCATAACTGATCGTCATGTGCAAAATGTTATTACAGCGGACCATTGAATTGTCATCTTAATGACTATGGTATGTTTACTTTCTATTCATGTTTTATATACTTTTGCTGCTTCATTTTAAGAGAGACATTTCAAGAAATCTTGAAATTGAGATTAAGAAATTTCGATTTTTTTATTAAAGTATTTTTATTTTTTGTTCATGTTAGCGAATGTGGTAATGTGGTAAGTAATATTAATAAATTAAACTTTATTGTAAAGTGTTTATCTGTTAAGCCAAATTCAGGTACTTTGCTGATTTATTAAGTTACTTTTTATTATTTATAAATTGCTTATTATTATTATTATTATTATATTGCAGCATCTCAAAATCCAGAAACCAACTTATTCTGGAGAGCTCACTTACAGTATGTCTGCATTATGGGTCAGTTGGTGTTCCGTTCAGTCATTTCTAGGTCAGAGTCTGTTTTTGTGTGCTGTGTGAGCAATGCCATTACAAAACCAGTTTTGGATGGGAAAACATATGATTGAGGACTGTGTTTGGTCGGTTGTAGTTACATCAGAGAGAGGTACTCGGAACCTGCCTTCCCTTTAAATCTCCTGATCGCGTCCCAATCCGCCCCTGCCATGCCGAGACGCCTTAAGCTGCTTAGGGCCTAATCTGGGCCCTGGGCTCCTAGGGGAGCACATGTACACTGTCCAGAGAGGAGGGGCTAAACTGCGGCATGTGACCATGTGACCGCCTTAGAATATGGTGGGCTTATAAAGCATGGATGCAGTGTTGAAAACACTGATGATGAATCTGTATAACTGTGGAATGGAGATGGGTTTTAACGTTATTACACATGATTGGGGAATATATGATTGGGCATATTCATTAGATGTATTTGGATGTGCATATTCATTCTAAGTGGTATACAAGAATTTGTCACAAATAGGGTTTTGTGGTGTTTGCAAATATTAGGACAGCAAATATGAAGACCACAGGGTACTACTATTCAGTGCAGTCCAGACAGGTTCCTGAACCCAGTTACTCTGAGCCACTTCACAAGCTTTCATTTGTGGAAAACTACTGTTAAATACACAGAAACTCACAAATCTTCATGACGAACTGACAAAATAAGTTTGGTTCATCTTGAAATTATGACAAATATATACTAAAATATTTTTTATCAGAGTAATAATAATATTTGTATTATTATTTCAGGAATATCATACAAGATATTTTTTCATCCATGCTTTAATTTATACAGTTCTGTTGTACAGCATCTTGTTTGGCAAAAAAAAAAAAGAAGAAAATGCAGCGTTTTCTTCTAAATTAATTGTTATATTTTCATTTGATTACATTTTAAAATATTGATTAAACTTTTAGCTTCATTAGTTTATTTAATTAGATAATTTTTTTAATGATACATTTGTATTATTAAATCATAAAACACAGAATCCAGAAAAATAAAATGGAAAAAAAACTGAATTAATTTCATGCCATGGGGTCCTAAGTTAGCTACTCTGTGGAGTTTGTGAACAAGCAAGATATGTTTACATTCATTCTCAAGGTCTGACAAACATGTGGAAAGCATTTCCTTCCTCATTAATGGTAAGTGAATTGTGTGATAAATATCAATATTATATGATATGGAAAAAAATACTGTAAAATTTTTGGCCTTATTTCCCAGCTCTACATCACCTACACGTCTGATGAAGTCATTAAAAAAGACCTACATTATATTACTACAAAATGCCATTGCACATTATTACACTTTCGCAATTTAACACGTTGCATACAACTAGAAATGAAGAAATAACCATATATTTTAATTTATTAGGATTAACTAAATGAAATACAAGGTCAGATGTTGTAGGCTTAATAAATAACACCCTAATTAATTTCCAACATGGCGATAAAAATATGCACAAATGAAGTAAATTTCTATTTTAAAAATATTGCATACATTGCAGTTAGGTTGTAAAAGTGTTTTAGAATTGTTACATTAGCTCATTTTGTAAAGTCACCAAAAATCTTTCTTATTTTTGAAATAATACTTACTTTTATTACATTTATTTTATGTTTTTAAAGTAACAAATGACATACTACATCATCCGGAGTTTTCAGTTAACGTTATTATTAGTTGTTACTAAACAGATGATGTATTTCTACACAATAAGACAATGTGTGACACAATTAGAATCATGTCTAAAAGGGGTTTTATTTTGAAACTGAAATGACATTATCCAGCCCTAATTTCACAAATCACTCCCCAGATATGTCTGCTCAGGAAATCAGACACAAAAAAATCTGAATATTAAGTGCCAACAACTGTGCATTTTAATAGAGAGCTCATTTGCAATTTAAATGCCGCTGTTGTGTAAGCCCTGATGAATTGCATGTGATGTTTTTACTCGCATTATTGTTTGTCCTTGCTTCAGTTAACATGTTATTATTAGTTGTTACTAAACAGACGATGTATTTCTACACAATAAGACAATGTGTGACACAATTAGAATCATGTCTAAAAGGGGTTTTATTTTGAAACTGAAATGACATTATCCAGCCCTAATTTCACAAATCACTCCCCAGATATGTCTGCTCAGGAAATCAGACACAAAAAAATCTGAATATTAAGTGCCAACAACTGTGCATTTTAATAGAGAGCTCATTTGCAATTTAAATGCCGCTGTTGTGTAAGCCCTGATGAATTGCATGTGATGTTTTTACTCGCATTATTGTTTGTCCTTGCTTGGCTAAATGCTGTGGATAGGGGTTCGTTCCCTTTCAGACATTTATATCTGTCCAGACTAGTTCAGTTGGTGCTCATTTGGAAGTTTATTCAAGATGGATTTTAATACAGATATTATAAATACCCAGTAGTTTGTTTGAGCACTCTGAACAGGAAATCATGAATCACTGCTCTTAGCCTAAAATACTAATTTATTACCATTGCTCTGAGTAAAACATATGGGTGATGACCAAATCATTGACTAGTAATGGTTTATTTTTAATGTGGCCTCTGTTTGTCTAAGCAGGGTCTAATTTATTTGTCAAATAACATCCCACGGGAACAGTCATTTTGGCATCTCTAATGAACTGCCTAAGAATGAGTCAGAATTCCGATCTGCTCAATTCATGGGTACGTCTCGCAAAACATATCCACAATGCACTACCTACGGAGCAGCAAACACTAATTGGCACTGTCACTTCTCACGCTTTCAGCGATTACTGAAGCAAAAATAGTGTAGTCTGTGAGTGCACGTGTGTTTACATTACATGCATGCAGGTTTAGTGTTGACAGTGAAAATCAGTTTTTTACTAAATCATGTATCAATGTAGCAGTGTGATTTTAACAGAACACTCCAGTTCAGGTGTAAATGAAAGATCAATTTTGCTTGACATCTGCTATGAAGTGAATGATTGCATGGGAATTTGTAGCAGATACTGCAGTGTCTTCAGTCACACTTTAGTTTGAGGACCAATTCTCACTATCAAATCACTATTAACTTTTTAAACTGAACATTGAAGTATGGCTTTTGCCTCAAACTCCTAATTTTTCTGCTTATTAATAGTCGGTAGTTAAGTTTAGGTTTGGGGTAGGATATTAAGGGATCTGTAATATCAGCATGTAGAAAGGCATTAATATGTGCATTTTAAGTACTAATAACCAGCCAACATGCTAGTAATATGAATGCTAATAAGGAACTAGTTGATGATAATCATTGCTTAAAAGGTTGCACAAGTTGTTTATCCAGAGGCAAAAGAGAAAACTGCTGTGGCCTATTATGTCTCAAGTCTGAGGGGAAAGTTTATGTAAGGACATATGAAATTAAGTCAAGTCAAGTCAAGTCACCTTTATTTATATAGCGCTTTTAACAATACAGATTGTATCAAAGCTACTTGAATAAGTCTTGTGCAATCAGAATTTTGGGTTTATGTTTTATATATTTTTATATTATATTGTTGTATACGTGTGTATTTGTATTATTATCATGTTACTTTAGTTTAAAATGTAATAAAATAAAAGCATTTTAATATTTTAATAATTATAATAATGCCCCCATAGTCTGTAGATGTTAAATGCTTTAAAGGGGTCATATGATGCTATTTTAAAGATCATTATTTTGTGTATTTG